ATTATTATTATTTTTATTATTATTATTATTATTATTATTATTATTATTATTATTATTATTATTGTTATTAAATACTACCTAATTAACTCCATGTAACCTACCTCACCCCCAAAAATGTCAGCCCATGTCTACTATTTTAAACAATGCTGTTTGTTGACCAAATTATAATTTTGTTTTTTTTCTGCCATGTTTTCCCCCCTTTTTTCATTTTTTTCTCAAACACAATTTATACTTTAATCCTGATTAGATTAGTATACTTTAACCTCAATTAGTATTAAGTTTTAGTCTTAAGTGTTTTTCCTGCCCGAAACACTTTGCGTCATAGTGGCTTTAGGCATTGCATGTACTAGCTCTATCTGTAAATCCATCAACTTTTTGTATTTCACCTTGTATGTATGTACTTTACCTGAATAAATATTTGTATTTGTAAGTCAAGATGGCGTCCCCCTCTCTTGCGTCATTGCCCCATCTCCACTCTATTCTTTACATTTGCAGTCAAACCCTTTATTGACTTTATTTACCATATTCCCTATGCATGTTTTTTGATTGAGTCCATTTTTCCCTCATATAGGCGATACCAGTTCGCATTATTCCTAAAAATCCCCAGCTGAGAAGGCACTACTTTGCTGGGCGGAGTACTACTGGTGACTCGCGGCCTCCCTGATATCAGCTGTAGATTTATTCTAATAAGCATTCAACAGTTACCCATCCCAGGTGTGGATGTTATTTTGGGTAATGATGTGGCAATAAATCATAGTGTGGGGGAAACTGATCACAGTTTGTTTAAACGGTCTGTTGCAGAACATGTTTATCCTGCCTGTGCTGAGTTTAGTTCCATGAGTGACCAGTCTGTTGCAGTGGAGAGTGTTAAAATCCCTGCCTGTGCTGAGTTTATTTCTGTGAATGAACAACCTGTTGTAGTGGATGGTGTTGTCCACCCTACCTGTGTTGATGTCAATACTATTATTGATCCAGTTGTCAGTTCTGATATTACTCAAATATTTGTTCCAGAAACCAGTACCCCTTCAGAGGAGAAGTGGGATGTGGTTGTTCAAGATTCATGTGTGGCCAACCTAGTTGTTGAGAGTAAGCCTGGTACTATGACCCCGCTTTATTCTAATCCAGTGGACGATTTGGGACACGACGTCCATGTGCCATTGTCTTGCCCGCTCACTACGAACATTGTGGCAGGAGTCTAGAGAAACTTAGATGGCACGACTCCATTGTATTCTAGCCAGGTGCAGGGTTTAGGACAAGATGTCGGGTTGGCAGAAGTTTTCCCGCTCACTCCAAATTTAGAATCAGTTGACCCAGAATCTGATGTCGGGAGTGAGAGTGTTGTAGTGGCCCCGCCTCACCCTAGTATTGTTGGTAGTAAAGGAGAGGAGGCCAAATTACCTGTTACTTGCCCACTCGCTTCAGATTTCAAGTCATTTAATTTTTGTAAGTTGAGTAGAACTGACCCCAAGATTTCAGCGAATAGCTGTACAGACAGACTACAGTACAGACCAGAGGATCAGCTTCTGTCGAGTAGATGGAGACCCATTGAGCCTCCCTCTTCAGTTGTCTATGAGGATGTGACCCCAGCTTGGTAGTGGTATTGATTGTGAACAGACAGTATTCCAAGCAGCTCCAGATGTCATGGGAGGAAGCTTTGGTAAATCGTGTGTAACCATTAAGGGCGGTAAAGTTTCTTTAGATCTAAGTTGCAGAGTTTTATGGACTGTGATTCGTATTCCATGGGGAGTAAGTATTTGTCATTGTGTAACTTGAGTCAGAGTGTTCGTGGGATGTTCTTGCAATTTCTTGTTATTCCGCAGAAGCCATTTTCCTTTGTAGAAATTTACTGTGGAACATCTTTATCCAGCCTTGTTGCTGAACAGAGAGAGCTTACTCCAATAAATTGTGCATCCAAGTTGAGAAAAGTTGTGTGTAGGATGTTCTTGCAATCTATTTTTATTCTGCAGGAACCATTCTATCTTGAAGTAATGGACTGTGGGACATCTTTGTCCAGCCTTGTGGTTGAGCAGAGAGTTTATTCAAGTAGGTTGTGCATCCAGTTGTTCTGAGGAAGTGGTGAGTCATACTAGAGCAGTGTCTCTACTTTCAGATCCAGTTTATTTTGCTGTACGAGTAGTGAACAACATGTATGTTCCACTCAAGTGTTGTGTTGACTTTCAGAGTCAAATTGGTGTTGAAGGATTTTATCAGACTTTGGAGCAGATGTTCAAGGTTCCAGGTGTGTGTTTCAAGTTGGGGACAAGGTTGTCCCACTTAGTTGCTTTAATGAGTGTGAAGGGTTACAGATTGTCCTTGGGTGGTTCCCAGGTAATCTGCTGTGCATCTTCAAGATGATAAGACCCTTAAACCTCTTGTTTGATTGTTTGTCACCAGAAGGAAGTCATTTACGGAGTGAAAGCCATGGTAAGGGTTGTCAAGGTTTCAGCATGTTTTTGTTATCTTTTTGGAAGACCAGAATGTTTATAAAGGTGTGAGTTGTATTCATGTCCACCATCAGAGGGTGTGAACTTGTTTTTGGTGTTATGATTGGGATATGGTGCATAGGCATAATCCTGTTTTATTTCGCTGATCATTATGACAGAGTTATGAAGAAATTGACTTAGGTGTTCCTTGAGTGTCATCTGAGTCATTTCGATCAGGTAGTCTTTGCACTAGTCTTTGTGGGTTGTATTTGTTGGATTGGAGATCAAAGGTTTGCTAAGTCGTTGTGTTGTGCTTCTGAAGGTTCTACGAGTGAAGAAGTTTTACATGTATTTGTGAGGTTAAACTCTATTTTCTATACTTTTAGTATCAATTGGGCGAGGGTATGTGTTCCACAGAAGATCACGTGTGATGGGAAGTAAATGTCCTTGTCAGGGCATACCCAGGACAAGTTCCTAAACCAGTCAGTCAGCTTCAATTAAGCAGTTCAGCTCCAGAAATAAGGAGTAATGGAAAATGGAATCTGTCTTGGAAAATTTCCCCATATAGAAAATAGATAATATGGAAATATGGGACTGATATAAGATCAATAATAGAAACAGAAGGAAAGATAATTTGTGGTATCGACCTTGTGAAAGCAGTTACATTTATTGACAGTTCTATTCATGAATATAATAAAATAGTGTTGATAGGAGTGTGAAATATGATCTAAAATTAAGTGAAATTAATGAGATCGTACCCTGAAGAGATAAATTTGCATACTCCAAAGGAACAGGTGTGATTAATTCAATACATTTCAAGTGTCATACACACTTGGCTGATAGCAGGCCTGGAGTCACCTGATTTTGGTTAAGTGTCTGTAGTGTTGTTTCTGTATATTGCCGTAGTAGAGTTTATTATCGGGAGTACTGCCTTATTATATTATAGTACCTTATATTGCCATCCAGTTTATTGTGATTATATAATTGAGATACTGATTGAAATATATTATATATAATTTTTATGAATGTGATTGATTTAGTTACCTGGTGAAATAATAATAATAATTCGTGTATGGTACTTCTGATGAGGCACCCTGGTTGAACGCATTAGAAAGAGGGCTTATTTTGATTACCCCAAGTCAACGTAAATTCTTGCCCCTGTAGTTCAACGAGCGGTGTGGACCAGAGGTAACATGGTCCAGAGTAGAAGCAGTCATATCAGTAATTCTAGTGGATTAGTGATGAAAGGTATGAGCAAGCAGGAATTCATACAGTTGGGGAAACTAGCAACTTGAAGGTTATCAGACTCACAGAGGTCAATATATCCCCCTAAAATTATTAGTTGTTTTTTGTTAAGTTTGTTTGCTAGTATTAGATTTCTAAGGTTAGAGCAGAATTCAGCAAAATCAGTGTTGGGAATTTTGTAAACTGCTCCCAGTCAGGTCAGCCTCAGCACCCTTGATTCTGAAATGGGCAAAGATATGTTCATCACAGGAGTCTCTAGTTCTAATTACTTTTAAGCATGTCAGCTCTTGGTGGTAGTAAAGAGCAGTGTCACCCACCTCTATGAATTTTTTTTTATTTATATTTTTATTTATTTATATATTAATACACCCACCAATGGGAAGAATACACCCACTGAACTGCATCGCTGGGGTGCAGATATACTAACCCAGCTGGCGACCTTGTTAAGAGGAAGATAGAGAAGGCAGGCGGGAAAGGAATTCCTGCAACCTTTTTGTCTGGCAGGCAAGACTCAGGGGAATTTATTGTTATAAGGTAAGCCTGAGTCTTCCTTCACTCCTCCACGGGTCTAGGCCGGAACTGCTGATAGCAGTTTCCCCGTGGTTGACTGAAGGGCTTCCAGGGTGAATCAGTGGCACCCCCTTCAGTGGTGGAAGCAAAGACCTGCGGAGGTGGGCATTGCTGGTCCTCTCCTGTGGGACCAAGGAGACTCCGGTGAATCCCGGGTGTCGGAGGGGCTGTGTATTCTGCCTTCTGAGCCCCTAGCAGCCGAGTGCTAGCGGAGCCCCGGCTCACCCTCCGTGACACTGCTAATGTTTGACTTAAGGCACTAACTTCATCAAAGTGTTTGCTTAGAAATCTCACATTAAAGTTAATTACAGAAACATGCATTAAAATGTATTACAAACTTTACAGTGTATTTTGTAAATGATAGTTATCACTACGAGGACTATTTTTAAGTAATACGTTTCCAATTATATTTTAATAATAAAACACCACATGTAATTCAATTTTTTTAGGCCTTGACAACGTTTTCAAGCCAAGTAAAAATGTTCGCCATGCTGACTTTGAAATATTGTGTATGGTGGGACTATCTTCATTGTGTCAATAGTATAATGTGAATGAAATATCAATTTAAGTCTCTATCGTAAATTTGAGTGAGTTTTTTTTTTATTAACAAGCCTAGGTTTACACAGTATTGTACTGCTACCCTATTCTATATGAAAGATTACACAGAATATATCAAACATTAGCTGTAAGTTCATATAATATCCCCATCTCTCAGGATGGTTAGTTATACATGAAATCAGGAGGAAACATAAAATACGTGAACACTTCTCTAATCGCTTAAGTTACTTTTTTGTTTATTCTTAACAAGCTTATGTATATACATCAATGTGCTACTACCCTATACTATATGAAAGATTACACAGTATAGATAAAAGAAAACTAGCTATAAGTTCATAAAATATCTCCATCTCCCAGGATGGTTAGTCACACATGGAAACAGGAGAGAACATAAAATGCGAGCACACTATTCTCTAATATTGTGTTACTTTATTATTATTATTATTATTATTAACAAACTTAGGTATATACATCAATGTGCTGCTACCCTATTCTGTATGAAATATTACACAGCATAGATAAAAAATTAGCTATAAGTTCAAATAATATCCCCATCTCACAGGATGGTTAGTCATACATGGAATCAGCAGAGAACATGAAATATAAGGCTGATCTATTAGCCTCCACTAGCAAAATCTGCATACAGCACAAAAATATCTTCCAATATTCCTCCTCTATCTACACCACAACACAATAACACTTGAAACTTAGTCATTCTCACCATTAGTGCGTTTCTCAACATTTGTGCGCGTGCAGGATAAACCCTTCATGCAAGCTGCACCTACCATCAAGAAGAAGAAGAAGAGACCCATCAGCGTAATCATATAGTTCGTGAGGCTGTAAGTTATATATAAAGGAATCAATGGTTTCAAGTTTTGTTGCTTTCAGGAGTGCTGGGTCTTCCTTACTCTTTTTGCTGATCGGCGAATAAGACACCTGTATTTCAGGGTACAGATATAGTGGAATATCATTGGCTAATACGTTGCATACAATAGAAATATTAAGTTTAATTAGATTGGCAACACTTAACCAGCTTGAATATAGGTTGCTCGCTGGTGCGTTAGCAACACTTTACCGCCAACAAACAGCACTAGTCAGTTTTTCTCTGACTACTGTTTACTACTAGACAAGTAGTAAGGGTGATGTTGGATCTCTCATCACCCTTACACAGAAGGTAGTAGTGAGCTGCTCAAATCTTTAACATATGGTTGGGAGTTTCAGCATCATAACTGAAATCAATCTTATTACATTTCTAATACGAGAAAGAAATTATTTTGGCAATATATGTGCAAAAATCGTTTGAAGAATCATAAATAAAATCGATAAGATAAAAGACAGTTCTCACAAATACCGCTAACCATATTGACCCTCATGATAAAGAGAGAGTCTACAGGAAAAAATACAACTCCAGTACACAAATTATCTCCTTCCCCATCCCCACAATTTTTGTTTTGTTCCAGATCTCAATTATACAATAAATGTACATATGTAAAAATAAGAAATCCTAATGATCATAACGAACCAGTTTAACCAGTTTACAACCTCATCTACTTCCTTGATGTATCTTTAGTGCTTGGTCAAAACTCATAAGCCTAATTATACTATAAGGCCTATTATAAGTTTTGTGGGACCCATTACCTTAGAGCTTTCTAAGTGGCTCACCAAAATTTTGTCCCCGCTGTTTGGTATTATTTCTAGTTCGCATTTGACTAGTTCGGTGGATTTAGTTAATCTTCAGTTAAATGATCTTTAACAAATTAAAGAATGTTTCAATCATTTCTGAATATAAATTAATTGCTTTTGATGCATGTTCTTAATTTACTAAAATTCATGTTGATGTTTTTCGACATTACCTTGCTCATGAATTAATGAACGATGTATATCAGAAGAACCTGCCTTCTGATATTATTGTTACTATCCTAAAGCTATGTATAAAAGAAAGTATATATACTTTTAATAATGACTATTATCTACAGACTTTTGGAATGGCACGGGAAAATCTACTACCTCTATTTCTTTCAAATTTGTATATGAAATTTTTTAAAGAAATTTATTTGAAAAATTACACTCAGAATTATTCCTTGGTTTAGTTATGGTAATGATATTTTGTGTATTTGGTCATCAAAATTAAAATTGAAATGAATTTAAAGCAAAACTTAATGATCGTCACCTCTATCAGTGTAAAAAATGCTAGAATGTTCTACATGATGTCCATTATGTCACTATCCGACTACAGTGCCCTGCACCTTATGAGTCTCTCTAGCAATAGAATGAAAGCTTTAGAGGAAATTAGAAATGAAGCCATGAGTATAATTCTTGGAACCCCCAGATGCCCACTAATCATCAACATGAGGGTGTGTATCAAAGTAACACAAGTAAAAAAATAATTATCCGGTTTGTCCAACTCGTTAGTTCAGATTTCTACTCTCTAATTTCGTTGTACATCGTCATATATACCAGTGCCCTCATCGTTACTATTAGTACTCACCAAAAGAGGTGGATTGGCTGGATAATGAGGCTTTATGTTTTGAGAGCACTTACTATCTATCACTGACTTGCTGGAGCCATTTTTACATTACACATAACTAAGTACATTTACGTTGAAATGTTACAGTAAATATTGAAATGTAATTTGGCTATTTGAGCCTCAAAGTGACCCAGTCTTGACATCTATGATTTCTTGCATATGAAGAAATTCCTTGAACTGACATCTAAACATTATATATTTTCACAAATTTCACTGATGATTGAAACAGTTTTGTCAACAATGTTTTGTGCTGTATTTTCTGTTAATCCCCGTGATGAGTACCAGAGATCAAATCGGACCTCATCACATATTTTGAGTAAGACGCACATGAATGTAACGTCAAGATCATGAATATTTGCATAACTTTTAAGATCTGTTAACTGAACATGTTTACCTACTCCGTATGTTCTTAAAAGAGGTGTAAACATATTTGTAAACAAATAGTCAATCGTAATAGGTTGTGGATTTAGTAAGGATTTCTCAGGAGAAAAATCAGCTGGCCGAAGCATTCTATCAATGACCATATTTTCAATAAATAATTTGTTCTTCAAGTTGTTCTGAAATTGAACATCATACTGCTTTGCATACATCCAGAAATGATCTTTAACATTGTAAGGTGTTGAAATGTTCTGATACATTGGAGCATTATGGAAGCCCATAGGGAAGGACTTGGAGTAACCTTTCATGTAACGACGCATATCAATGGGAACACGACTCCTAATATTGTAGGCGTCTCGTGTCAAGCCGGCCTCCCTTACTACCTCAACAAGAGCTGTGTTAATTACACTCGTAAATCCAGCATTGAACGATATATTTTCAGACTGACACTTGGCATGAAACTTATCAACGTCCGAGATATTCAGAAAAACATTTTCCAGGAATTTTGTCTCTGTCTGAGAGGGTTCTGGGGCTCCCAAAGCTTCAATGAGGACAGACGTGGCCGGCTCCTCTTTTTTAAGTTTAAGTAATGAACTTAACCGCTCAGGATCATTTTCAAGAGCCGATTTTATTTGTTGGGTAATTTCTGATGTCTGACTGTGGTCTGCAATTTGACCAAATTGCGAATCATCAATGGGCTTTCCGCTGATCATATCATCAATTATCTTGTGGAACCAAACAAGAATCATCATCAGATCAACACCATCAATAGCTGCATGTTGGCACAGAAATATCACTGTGTTCCGATATGGAAATTTTTCGTTTATCTCTGGGCGAGGAGGATAGGCTTCAGGGGTAGATGATAGAAGTCGAACGCGCCACAGAGGTCCATCGATCAAATTTGAGGGCATGTTTATCATTGACTGTGCTTCCTTAAGTGGATCTGACCCTTCAACAACCTGAGAGATAAAGAAACAATAATTTATTCAGAAATACAGCCATATGAAACAAAGGCTTAAGTAAGGTAATCCAGATAATAGAGCCAGGTATCAATTATTCTAGAAAAACTTGTTTTATTATGGAGCTAGAGTTGTTTATAACAGAATGAGCCAGTATAATTTAAGGAGTTAACTAGACCAGCCCTTCACTGATTAACCCATTGACCTCCATTAGTTAACCTAAATATTATTGTAAATTAACGTAGAGGACAGTGTCTCATCAAAATGACACTGTTGGTTAACCTAAACCCCCCATGTCTTTTGACCTAAGCTATTAAGTCATTTGTTAGTTAACTTTAAGTGGATAAAGCTATTATAGTCATTTGTTAGTTAACCTAAAATAATAAAGGTAAGTTGAGCTCATAAGGTCTAGCGCTTGCAGACTTAATGGGCTCTGAAGGCTACCAAACTTCATTTAATAAAACTCAGTAATGTGTTACATAAATTACTGAGTGTTTATATTTATTACTTACATAAAATAAGTTTTTTATTATATACTTAATTTAATAAATCAAGAAACTCTAAGTTAAATATTCACTTTAACATTTGTTAACTATAACTCAGTAGTGTCCGTTAAAAATAATCATAATTTATCAAATATATTGAACAAAACAGGTATGTATACACCAAGAGTATCTATTGTGGCTACAGTGGGGCCCTTCAGACGATGATTGCCCTTAAGATAAACACGAAACCAAATTAAATTTAATGCTTCTGATTAAAAGACAACCTTTATGATTCTCATTAAAGAAAGATTCCACAACGTCCAAAACACTCAATTGTTTGCAATAATTTATTCTCAGTCTTCATAAAAGATTAACTTATTAGTTCTTCCTTAATCATTTTCAGTTTTCAATATGTTCCAGTTTTTTTTTTAGATGATTCGTTCGCTTGAGGAATCTGTAATCATGACCGGTAAATATATTCATATTACAGCTTCTCCATTTGAGTGAACTGATCACAGAACTATGCTTGCTAATTTGCAAAATTCATTTGCAGCCTCTTGAAGGGCCCTCCTCGGTCTTATGCTGGAATGTTATTGAGGTTCATCACACCTGTATAAACACGACACTGCTGCTTAAATACAACATACAGAATGTCCAAATTAGTATAAATTTGTCGATGAAACGTTTTCACTAAGAAACAATATAGGAAACTCTGACCTACTTGTGCTAGCAGGGTTGAGTTCCCGCTATTGCTGGTAAGGGCTAGTGGTCCGGTGTGCGAGTGTTTTGGGGATTAAGGTCTATCTATTTGTGGAGGATTATTAACACTTAAACTGCACACCATAACCAGGGTTGTTTCATTGATAGTGCACACCACAACCAGGGTTATTTTAGGCCTATCACAAAATTGTAAACTCCCACGCATACATGAGGCTCCCATTAGCTTCCTCAGGCCTCCAGTAACCATCCCTCATTAACAACAACAAATACTCCTGTATCGCTCACTTTTCTTCTTAGGCCTTAGCAGGAAAATGAGGCCCAAGCCTGGTACATCACCATCCAGTGTCTGGACGTGCTGGGCGGCCACACTAGCAGCCATTAAACTTTTACCAACAGCAAATAAGTGACTACCATGTATATATTTACAGGCAAACTGTGTGGTATGCGCAGTTATAAGATTTAGGTTTTTAATTATAAATATATGTAAATTAATATAAACAAATACATGAAGTGCATGTCTTTGACACATGTTGAAATATGAATATTTAAAAAACTACAATTGGTGACATTTTACAATTTACATTTTCATTTGAAAATGTAAACTTGTCAGTTTATTAAAAAAAAAAAAATTTTGTGCTCATGTTACGATGTTGATTCATTAAGAAAGAAAAGTTGGGGCATTTACCATTTAGACTATGTACAAAAAAATTAAAGAGTTTGAGGAAGACTGAGAAACCGATTTTCAGGCCCCTGAAGCTAAAGAAACAATTTTGTTTTTACGGAATTTTTTCAGGCCCTTTTAACTTATATCCCGCATATAAGAGTCATATCATCCTGATTTGTATATACCCTGAAGCATGGGGAAGAGATTTTGTACATTTAAGGAGTAGCATAAACTGTCGGTTGACAGTAATTATGATTTTCGTTGTTTTGATTTTCGTTGATTTTCTAAGCCTGTGAGCAGTGAAAGACTACGATTTGTTCTCCAGTTACATTAGCAGTTCTGAATTAGGCAGTACAGTAGCCCAAGTGAGCATAGACAATTCCAGTGGTGTGGCAGAGGTAGCCCTCCAGCAGGAGCCACAGTTATCCAGCTACGAGTGTTGAGAGGTAGTCTCACAGTGAGAGCAGCTCGAATTCGCAGTGTCGCGGCACGGTGAGCACCTGGGGTTCTCATTACGTCACTTGCACACTTGTAGTCCTCGGCCAGGTGATCACAGGCGGGTTTGACTCATCCCTAAGCATCAAGAAAACATTCTGCGAAGAGAAGAGCAGTGTGCACTTCTCTTCAATGATCACCTCTCTAAATGCACTTCTAGACATGGAGCAGATATTTCTTCTCTCACTTGCTGTATTTGATATTTATGATTTTGTATTCTCCGTCAAGTTCGTATCTGAACTGAAGACCAAACTATATAACAGTACAAGATGAGGAAATTATATATTACCTGTTAAACGTTCGTTTTAGAGTGCTGAGTACAAAGTGTTATTCGCTTCAATACAAACACTGACCAGTTCTTTTTCCCAGGAGCTCGTGGTTCAGCTTCCCAGGAGCTCTGGGAAGAAGAGAAGGTAAATCCTGAAGAAGAGACGGTAAGAGAGGAAGGTGTTGGTGACACACAGAGTGTGTGCAGTGCTCACCTGGAAGTCGATGGAAGGTATTGGCATCTCACACAGCCACCACTCTTTGCCACGGGGGCGGAAACAGGTCCTCAACAGATGAACCTTACTGAAAACCAAACAACTTGATTAATCCTTTTCCTGCCGTGTTTCACTGCTACTTCGTCGCTTATATGTTGTCAGGAAGTATTTTACGAATTGAAAATATTTATAAAATAAACAAATTTTGTCAAATAAATAAGAAATTTATTAGACGCTCATTAAAAGATAATTTGCATAAAATGTTTTCCCATTCCATAACCAAAACAAACCCAATTTATCAACTTATATGACACTACATATACATTTCTTGAGTGTTCTAAGGAGACCTCTGGCGCCTGGTCATTGTGCTTGAGTGAGCGTTCCTGAAACCCATTCATAGTGCTCTTATGAGAGCTCCTGAAACCCATTCATAGTGCTCTTATGAGAACTCCTGAAACCCATTCATAGTCCTCACATGAGAGCTCCTGAAACCCATTCATAGTGCTCTTATGAGAGCTACTGAAACCCATTCATAGTCCTCATATGAGAGCTCCTGAAACTCATTCATAGTGCTCATATGAGAGCTCCTGAAACCCATTCATAGTGCTCATATGAGAGCTCCTGAAACCCATTCATAGTGCTCCTTTGAGAGTTCCTGAAATCCTTTCACGGTGCTCGGAGAAGAGCTCCGGAAAAACAAAGACACGCTGCATCATGAAGAATGTGTTAGAACACAAGCAAGCAGATAGTGAGCCTTGTCGGTTTGCCCGACAAGGCTCACTCAAGGCTTTAAACATGTACACAGTCCATGTAACAGGGACATGTACACAGTCCAGCCTAGCACCATAACTACAACAGCCAATATTCATATACTAATAAACTCAACAATTTTTATTATAAAGGTATGATATATATGAATATGCAATTAAATTACCTTAAATTAGGTCCAAGTGCTGTTATCTAAGAACAAGAGATTATATTCAATATAATAAACTTATATGATAAATTAAAGATAACTAAGTAAGCAACTGATAACTAATTATATATATGATCAATTATATATAGATATATTCAATTTATATGAAGAGTTTCAGTTAAGCTTGACTTTCAATGACTAAAGTTGTGTACCTCATGAGTGTTAGATAAATTGGAAAGGTTCAGTTGTTGAAAGACTAATCAAAACTTACTGAAATATGAGGCGTCGCCTCACCCTGTAACGACAAACAGACTTATTGGATATATCAAGGTTGTACAAGCATGCAATTGGCCAATCAGCACACTGCAATAACAATCAATATACTAATATCTGAGTGGCGGGTGCCATCTGACAAGTTGCCGGACTGGATCTCTGTAGAGCTTAGGCACTATATTTTATGTCACAGCTTTGCTGTTTATTATTCTGGTAGCGTTGCTAATTGATTATGCCTAAATTGCGTTTGCAGTAGGATAAGATAGGTGTGGTGGAGGCGGCGTCACCTGATGAGCTCCACTCTACACTCTTATTTAGATAAAGTACTAGGATTTTTTCCTTATAGGTATTGTTCAGGTACTCCCCCAGTTGTAGCGAGTAATCACTGGTGATAATGAGTTAGTATGGTGTCTATTACTGATAAAAGTTCGCAAGGCACCGTCACACGTTTTCACTCTGTAAACAACACTTTCCCGCCTCGGGCGGTGTTGGGCGCTTCTCTCCCAGCCCTCGTCTCCCCATGCTTCCGGAGTGAGGTAGCCTTTAATGAATATTGATTAATTATTTTTACTGTCTAGACGTATGAGTGAGATAAGATGTCTTTATAATATAATTAAATATAAGGTTTAAATATTTTAAGTAGTACTTAATAGTATTCATGATTCTTACTAAGGATTTGATTTAATCCTTACCAGAAATCGATTGATGTTCCAATAGTTTTTAATTAAGATATTCTTCTACAAGCTTCTAGATCCTTCAGAAATCATGCACAAAGTCACGTAGGCACCATGGGCCCTTATGGCGTTCGTGATATAGTGGCATTGTCATGTGTTACGTATCCCTATTTAATGGATACTCACATTAATTAACTCAATATAAAATTTAATATATTTTATTTCTTAAATAAATTTATATACATATATACTTTTGAAATTGTCCTATAGTTTGGCAACATAGGGGAGCCTGGTGTGAGATAAAGTCACAGGTATTAGACGTGTGCTTGCCTGGTCAACTTCTTGATAGATTAGCATGGAAATGTTGTACTTGTGTAGTTGCCAGTTGCTTCCTCTTTATTATTTACCATATATATATTTGCTTTATATATATACATGTATTGCATATATATTCTAATCATTTGAATATTACAATTCATATTTTATTTCAAGTTATGTTTGTATAACACGATTTCGATGCTCATTTAATTAAATTAAATTTAAATAAATTTTCCACTTGTCATGTTTGTGGAGGGGGGAGGTGGAGGCTCTGACGCCAGGAAAGTTAGTTAGGTGGAAGCCGTCAGGGAGACAACTGGTCTGATAAGGGTTTGTTGGTTTTTCTGTATTTTGTTGTGGTAGATAACATTATCTGGCGAGCTTCATTCTTATATTATAGTATCTTATTGTGCCAGCTGATTAATTGTGATACATGATGTGGGAAATTTTACCCACCATATCTATATTATCATCTAAGAAATGTAGTATTTCTATATCATAGCAGAATCACTATAGATTTATTATACATCTTGATCCTAGATGACAATGCCACTAGGATCACATACAGCATAGGGCCCTATAGATGCCTACGTGACTTTGTGCATGATCTCTCAAGGATCCGGAAGCTTCTAGCTTTAAATTGTGAAGCTTCTATCCCCACTTGGGAAGTGGGGATATTTGAGGTGTATATATACCTCGAAATCTCTACTTCTTTTAAGGGTCTGATGTGGTGTAGTGGGTTCAAGTGTACTAGTTATGGCAGCTACTGGAAGGTAGTTGAGCTTTCTGGGTTCGAGGCCCACTGGTGGGTGTTGTCCAAAGATTATATATATATATATATATATATATATATATATATATATATATATATATATATATATATATATATATATATATATGTCGTACCTAGTAGCCAGAACGCACTTCTCAGCATACTATGCAAGGCCCGATTTGCCTAATAAGCCAAGTTTTCATGAATTAATTGTTTTTCGACTACCTAACCTAACCTAACTTTTTCGGCTACCTAACCTAACCTAACATATAAAGATAGGTTAGGCAGGGTTGGTTAGGTTCGTTCATATATCTACGTCAATTTTAACTCCAATAAAAAAATTGACCTCTTACATAATGAAATGGGTAGCTTTATCATTTCATAAGAAAAGAATTAGAGAAAATATATTAATTCAGGAAAACTTGGCTTATTAGGCAAATCGGGCCTTGCATAGTAGGCCGAGAAGTGCGTTCTGGCTACTAGGTACGACATATATATATATATATATATATATATATATATATATATATATATATATATATATATATATATATATATATATATATATATATATATATATATATATATATATATATATATATACACACACACACACACACGCGTGCATGTTTCATTATATAACCTGGTGAAATATTCTTTGTATGATACGGCCTTATGAGACACTGGTTCAACGTATTTAGAGACGGATTATTTGATTATCCCTAGACAACGTCAATAATTACGCCTGTAGTTCAACGAGCTGTGTGGACGAGACATAAATCATGTAGGATCCAGATGTAGGATATAATTAATCTGTAGTGATTTTGATATAATTCTTATATGATTTTGATATGATCTTGATATGATATAGAAATAATGCATTTCTTAGATAATAGTACAGATATAGTGGGTGAAATTTTCCAGAGAACCAGCCACCAGTTCACACTCCACCCAGGACCAGCCACCAGTTCACGCTCCACCCAGGACCAGCCACCAGTCCACACTCCACCCAGGACCAGCCACCAGTCCACACTCTACCCAGGACCAGCCACCAGTCCACACTCTACCCAGGACCAGCCACCAGTCCACACTCCACCCAGAATCATCGACAGGTCCACACTCCACCCAGAACCAACGACCAGTTCACACTCCACCCAGGATCATCCACCAGTTCGCACTACACCCAGGACCAGCCACCAGTTCACACTCCGCCCAATACCAACCTCCAGTCCACACTCCACCCAGGACCAGCCACAGTACTCACTCGACCCAGGGCCAGCCACCATGAACCATGAAACACTCCAGTATTGGAGTAATACTGTCTTAGCACGAGCTAGTACACCTAATAACTCCACAAATTCATTTGTTATTGTTTGTTTTATACAAAAGAAAGCTGTGCTGTGTACTTACTTATACAGATGAGTAAGTGCTTGAAGATACTGCTCTGGTTCAAATGGTTGTTCTAAGTGCAAGGTAAAATATCCGCCCTGGCCCCAAATGCCGTGTTTGTTCATGACTACCATGTCCTCTACTCTGCCATCGCCTTGGTGAAGCCACTTCAACTCCTGCACTTCATTC